TGCTGATTTTGGTGTGGGAATTTAGCTGAAGTTCTCCTTCTCCGTTGGTCTCCATTCGTTCTCCATTCCTTCTCCAATTCGTCTCTTCCCGGAAGCTCGGATTCCTTACACTGAGGTAAGGTTCTGATTTAATTATTGATGTGTCATTTTTGAATTCGGAACAGGCCGTTCTGATGTTGGAACGGGTTGTTCCGTTCCATTCGTCATGTGTTTTTTTGTCATCTGGAACGGCCCGTTCTGGTCCAATATTTATGTGTTATTTGTTCATTTGGAACGGCCCGTTCTGATTTCAGAACGGCTCGTTCCGAGTGTCAGTAGTAGCTGCGTCTGTTGTCACGAGTTTTTTTTTTTGGGTAATTTAAAAAAAAATCAGTAAAAAAATCAAAAATTTAGATCCAGTGTGGTAAGGTGTATTATGGTCTACTAATTTAGATGCATCTAAGGGTGAAAATTGATGATACACCCATGAACCACTTGTGAAAGTGGTCTTTCAGAGAATTCACCCGTTAGTTTCATTGAACTGCAAGACAAAAACAATTGAAAATGTTTGTGTAAAATTAAAAATTAAAATAGGTTTTTTTAAAATATAAAAGCTCGTATATTTATAAGTAACAAATGAATAATTAAACTAATAAAAAAGTAAAAATGATACTGGTGTAATTTTATCTTTTAGAAAAAAAATAAAGGGATGAATAAAAATTACCTCAGGTCAATGAAATGAGAGGGAAACGTTTAGTTTCAGTTTAAGATTTTCTTTCTCGTTTACAGAATTCGGTTTCACCGTTTCAAATCAAATTCAGATTCGATCTCTACCACCATTGTCCTCCATCTCCGATCTCCATTGTTAGTAACTTCGTGTCTTCTTCCTTTTACAGTGCCACATAACAGGATCTCTTACAACTGTCATATTTATTTATTTATTTATTTTTATTTTTAGTTTTTGGTTTCCGTTGCAGGTTGCAGCTCCTTCGGGTTTTGGTTTCGGAATTGATTCAGAAGCTGCGAATATTTCAGGTACATAATTGGCGAATCTTTGTTGGAAGGTTTTCATATTTTACTTATCGGTTTTAGTTAGGAGCTGAATCTCGATCACTTTAGGTCTATGATTTTGTGAACACTGCCTTTTTTGGTTTATGGGAGCATATTGGTGTGTGTGATGCATTTGGAATGCAATTCGTTATGGTTTTCTGATTAGCAGGTTTTTGCTGCTTTATCGTATCTGTTGATAGAGATGTTTTGCCTTGTTTTATAAAAGTTAGGTCTGCAAAGTTGTTCATGCTTTACACAGTTGTGTTTGTCCCTCCCCAGCCTTTAAAAACTTCATCAGTCTCCGATGAGAACCTCACGGTGAATCCGTCACGGGTTGCAACCCACCTTACTTCATATTCTTCTCTATGAAGGACAAATAATCTCTCTCATCGTGTGTGTGTGTGTTTGTTTGTGTTCCTTCATGGATTCTATAGCATATTATTTCATTTTGATATTAATTTTTTTTTTATCTGAGTTTGACTAGTTCTATTTTTAGTTTCTCGATCTAAGGCATTTACGTGATATGAGTGTTGGAACAAGATTTATGGCTGAAATGTTGAACGGTTTGGATTTCATTTTGGTACATATGAAATCAAATAAAAAATGATCAGATCAGCCTGTTGGGTGTTATAGTGATGGACTTCTTACATGCATTTGGGGACTTACTGATGGGCCATTATCTTCCTTTCTTTGTACTTTTCCCTTTTTGTTTTGCAGTAATCTAATAGAAACTTTGGTCTTTGTTTCACACAGAACATTCTAGTCTTATGGCTCTAGGATCCTTTGGCTATTTATAATTCAAACCTTTCTAAATATCATCTTCTCTACCTTTAGCTTTGTCAGCAACCTCATACTGTAGTAATAGTTTTGTTTTGCTTTAAGAATATAGTGAGGTGGAATTATTTTGTAATGGTAAACTTGTCAGATTTTCAATTTACGCGTTTAAATAAAAATTCAATTATAATTTATATATCACTAAAGAAATTGGTATAATTTGATTTATTTAATATCTGTAGTCTGTACCATAGAAAGGTATTACTGTTGCAAAAAGAGGCACCAGTATGCCCATGCTTGGAAGCAAAGGTTAATTCAACTTTAAACTTGTTGAAATAGTTTGATTCATATTTGGCGTGTTCGATTGTGTTTAAAATTTGGGTAGCTTGATCAGATTAGCTTTACTAATAATTTTTCCAGTTTTATATATAATTAATTGTTTCTTTGCCTGATGATGTTTGATTTATAGATAATTAGTATAATTGCTGAACACTGTAGTTATGGGAATCAGTAAAACAGAAATAAACTTGAGGAGGTTGCTTGCAGCTTCTCCTCAACAGCAAAACCAGGCAAAACTTATACATGTAAGTCTGAAGATAAGTCTTGACTATTTATTTGGGTTGACAGGGTTATGCCTATAATCTTTTATAATTTTCTTGAAATATGTATTATTAATTTAGTCATTTGTTAACTCTGGAAAACACAAACTTGATCATTAGTTGATTCTTGCATTCTGCAGTATGTTGCTACTTTGCGTGAACAAGTGGAACAATTGGCTGATGAAAGGACACCGGAAGGCTTACCGAGGTGTTGTATGTCCCTTTATTTACCATCTGATACACATAGATGTAATGGAATTATTAGTGAAACTACATAACTTCAGTGTTTGTTCATACATCACAACACAATAATCAGTTAGTTTTAATTTTTGGAGATCTTACCCTTTATACTAATATACCTTAAGTGGCAGGGGAGGATCTTCATAGGATGGGCGAAGGTGGCTGCCCCAAAAGTTTAAGAATTCCATTGAATAGAAATATCTAAAAGAAAAAATTAGCCATACTTTACCTTAAACATGATCAAAACAATCTTAGGGCCACCCCAATTTATTTTAATCAATATCTACTACTATTAAGTAGGGTAGGATTTTCTTTCTGAAAATGGGCAGTTTTTGGGTTTGAACAGATGAATGTTGGAAACTAATACTTATTGAAATTTTAGGAGTGTAGTGGAAAGAAAAAAGAGGAGTGATGATGTTGTAATATAAAATAGTAATCTAATACTTTTATTTATGCTAACATTCATGCTAATATTCTAGGTCAATGTGGAGCAATTAGTATAAGCCCAGCCTAGTAACATACCTAACATAATAGGAGTACTACCACAATAATTATCCATATAATCAAACATACATATAGTTCCAGCAGCGTACGGAATAAAAGAATGCTATTATTTTATTATTCACAATGAGCTCTCTTGAAAATATTACTCTCATTGAACATAAGTTGTGTTTTCCTGCCTTGTAACTCTAAGATTTATAGAAATGATTATATTAAATTCCTTTAGAGGGCATTTGGTATACGAAAGATTTTTACTTTCCTGAAAATCTAATATTGGGAATGTCAGTTTTCCGTGTTTGGTTTGTTATTTAAAAAATAACATTCCTAGGAAGCATTGTTTCCCAAGAATGGTTTTTCCATGGATTTCCCACAAAATTATTCCCATAGGGGTGGTGGAAAATGTAATGACCTGGCAGGTTCCTACATTTTATAGCTTCGCTAGTCACAGCAGAAAACATAAATATAACTAACTACCTAGGGTTAGCATTCAAGTAGTTCCCAGATATACATGCAATAATATATCCATAGGAATTTAAAATCAATTGGAAATCATAAATCTCTCTCAATGGAACTACATCATGTCCCGTACACATATACATCTACAGTAATCCAAAACTAAAATGTAAACCTAGGTTATTAGTCAAGCTACTCTACAAATTAGCTACAAAAAGTAGCACCAAGCTACACCGCCATCCAGCATAGCTCTCAACTCAACCTTCTCCAACCTATCCTTGCCCTGCTTTCATAAATCACAATCCAACCATACATAAACATTCAAGGGTAAACTAGCATTCAAAAATAACAAGGTATAAAAGTATTAAACTAGCTATACAACAACTTAAATAACTTAACATTCAACAACCACTTAAGGCAATAGCTTAGCAACATAACATTATCCTCAACTTACAACACAATCAAGCAACTATCAACATGTTAACACTACATGTGAACAACACAACTCAATTTTCATTTTGAACAACACAACCATAGTACATCTTATCCACACAACATCATAGTATATGAACAACATAATTCATCAACTCAACATTGTCTGATTTCATTACACTGCACCCGATGTTGTCTAGGCAGAGAATCTCTGTTTTGATCATGCCTGATGTCACTCAACTTGGAGTTTGATGTCACCAAGTCAAAGAGCTCCAGAGACATCCACGCTTGGTACCATTCAACCCATGTCTAATGTGACTAAATCAAAGAACTCTTCTCTAACTCATGTTCGATGCTACCAATCCCATGTTCAGTGTCAGTGAGACAGAGAACTGTGGCTTGCATCACACCTGGTGCCTTGAAGTTGCGCCCAACATGCAACCAAGAAATGATCACAACTCAACAAAATCTTCCCAACATGTTCAAGAACCTCAAAACCCCACAACACAAGGATAACAACTTAAATCATCCACACAACCATGGTTTCATGAAATCAAACAACCTACAACTTAGACAATCCAACAAAGATTCAAGTTGTAGCTTCCCTTACTTCTAAATTCAAGAGAAAAGAGGAGAAGGAAGAAGAAAGTCGAGACCCTTCGAAGAACTCCACACCAGTCCTCCAAGGTCTTTGATTCGAGGCTCTCCAAGCTTGAATTTCTACTTAGCAACTCTACACAATCTTCTACACTCTTATGAAGGCTAGTAAGAAGAAAGGGAAATTTCAAAATTTCAGAGTTCCTCTCACTAACTTTTCTTAAGAATGAATATATGAAGTTCAAGTCTTAAAGAAAACTTTATATACTTTTCTGAGATTGATCAGTTTGACCTCTGCTCAAAGCAGCTCCCCAAACACCATAACTCATCAGGATTCCTAACTCCTTAGAGTTCTACAACTAATCAACTAAGCACATCAAGATATATAAATTAATGAAACAATAATTATTAATAAAACTCAGTGTTATAGGAAACTAACTTTCCTAAGGTAAAAATAAAATTTTAATGTAGTAAAAATGTTATGTTTATTTGTTTATTTAATGCAGTGAAAATATTTGATTCCAAAGTAACATTTAAAAACATTTCTGGAAACATTTATGATCAACCAAACAAATTTTCATAATTCCAAGGAATCACGATTCTTAAGATTTATGATTCTTAGGAATCATGATTCCCAAACACGAAAAAATTTGTCATGTACCAAATGCCTCCTTATAGTAAACCTACTTCATTATTTGTTTCATCTTCCACCTCCCCTAGATAGTCAATAATCTTCTCTTCTCCTTTGTTATTTATAAAACTAAAGCTGTTGTATTCCCCCTACTTTCTATGTGTTTCTCTGCTGAATGTGTGTGCATTCATTTGTGTGTATATAAGCTATGCTCTGGTTATGCAGGATTTCAAAGGCCACGTTGAATGATTATTCAGAGAAGATTGAAGCCATTGCTTCCAAATTGGTTAACCATGTGGTATGTATTTGTGAAATAATGTATCCTGGAGAGCTATTGAAGTGTAAAAAAGATCCTTAGGCAACATTTGTTTTATGGTGATACAATAAATGAAATACAAATTACACATTATAAAAATAAAAACATTGCCCTATATGACTATATCTGTTTTACATAGGTAAATCAGTCCTATAAACTTTGAGGTAAGGGTCTGCTTGGTTCAGGTTAAATTGGTGGTTAGTGATCAGGTGGAAATTTTATGGATATTACTTCACACTTAGTTTATCATCATTGTTAAATAATGGCGACATCACATATTTTTAATAAAAAAAGAAAGTATAATGGAAGATGTCTTCATTGTCAGTAATGAGGATTCTATTTTGTAAGAGAAGAATAAATTGAAGAGATAAGACTTTTGAAATTAAAGAGAAAATTATGCAAGTAAAATATTTGAATAAAACATGTAATTTCTATGTGTATTGGTTTGATATGGTGTAATTAAATTTAAATTCAAATTGGGATTGACTAATATTAGGCAATAATGTTCGAGAGGAATAGAAAAAAAATTAAACTATGATATACTTGATGCTTGAGAAACCATGTGGCTTACCAAGAGAAAGATAGATTCTTAAAATCCTCTTATTCACGAGTAAGTACTCGTATTTACAATTTAGAGGTAGATGTAAGATGGAAATATAAATATATTCATTTGGATAGGATACTGGAGAGAAGAAGAAAAGAAAGCCAACAGAAGCGAGGCAAAGCAGTTAGATTAGGTATGTGGAACAAGACAGTTAAAACTGCTAGGTGGTTTAGATCAACAAAAGGGATAATAGCAGGGGCTTAAGTGGGGGACATGCAGAAGAGAGGTATTCTGATATGATTGTATTGGAGAACCAAACACTAGCGCAGCTGTAGATGGAAAAACGCTTTGTTAAAGGTGAAAGCCTTGGATGTGATATTATTTCCTTTTTCTGTTGAAATTCAATAAATCTTTGCATATTTTTTCACTTTCATTTCTCCGCATTTTTTCTTGTGGGTTGATAGCACATTGTCACTTGGATCATAACTTATGTGCAGAATCATTTTAATTTTTCAACTCCTTTTCCACTTAACTTAATCAACCAAACAAACTTTAAGGATTTATTACAAAGTGGAGAAAATCATAATACATTCACTATTGAATGTGAAAATTGTATATAAAATATAAACATTTAATGGCTTGGTTTTTTGTGACCTTGTGGGAATGCATCATGAAATCATAAAATTTGCTCATTTTTTGTTTGTTACCTTTCATGTATTTCACTTTAGTTTTGGCCAAATAGGCATCATCGTTTAATCACATAATTTTTTTTAACCCAGCCTGACCCAGAAGTATCCGAGAAGGACTTTGAAGGGAATTTTGTTAAAGAAAACCCTTCTGAAATTGAGGAAAAAAAGAAGATACCCCTTTCTTCTGGATTGAGAAGAAGGCCTGTGTAAGCTATAGTTAGCCTTTCTTACTGCTACGTGTATTTTGTAGGCTGTTTTACCGTTGCTCATCTGATTCATTGGACAGACCGGCCTCTAGTACTGAAGATAGAGCACACGAGCCAGCTGAGACTGACCACACACCACATGTTAAACTGGATGCTACGGCACATGCTCACATTGAAAAGCACAGGTACTGTGTTTACTTGAATTGTTATTTAAAGTTTATGTAATGGTGGGTCAACTGAACAGACTCAGTCCTGCTTTGGTGAAGAGTACCTAACTTACAAATATTCATGTCAACTTGTCTAGAACAACAAAGTATATCTTTCTTCAGGACAAGCACTGATGTATTAAGGTCAATTGTTGGGATACATTTTTAGTGACTTACCAGTTATGTTGCTGGCTTAATATGGTGGACTATTAGGGTCATATAGATTCGGTAGTTTACTTGGTCATCATTGACTAGTCCTCAGCATGTTCCGGAATCACTATCATTACGATACCAATACCTAACAATTGTCATTGAATTATGTATGCAAATGTTTTAAATAAAAACTTTTATAGTCACTTACCTTGACACTCTAGGCTTTTTGCATTTATTGCACTTTTTCTTTTAACTTCACTCGAGTGTTTTATTTTGTTCATTTTTTTACTCTAGAAAGCTTCAAGATGATTTGACTGATGAGATGGTGGTATTGGCAAAGCAACTCAAAGAGAGTAGTCTCGTGATGAACCAATCCCTGAAAAACACTGAAAAGGTCCTATTCTCATGTTTTTCATTCAATCCTGCTTGCGTAACTCTGCTAAACGGTTGTATGAGATGGCGATACTAAATGTGTCCTATAATAGCGTGGTGAGAGTGAAGGGGACTGTTAATACCTTATGATGACAGTGATCTGATAGTCAATACAGTTCTCGTCCCCCCTTTTAACTCAAATGAAATTTGGTTTTATTATTTTATAATTATCTATAATCTATAAGTCTTTTTTGCATATACATTTTATTTTCTAATTTTACCCTTAAAACCGTTTTTTCATTTTCAATTACGAACAACTCATACCTTTCAAATAACAATTTCACTATTTCTTTTTGTTTTTATTTTTTATTTTTAAATGAGAGAGACAAGGAGTATTTTTTTCTGCTAGTTATTTTATAATAAAAATATATCTCTTCTGGTGATCTTGATAGCAATGAGTTATATTTATACATGTCCCCTCCCACGATGTGAATATATATGAAATGGAAGGCGGTCAGATTTTTAGGATTGAATATTCTTTGTATGGTCCTTATTTATTGCATTATTCTACTTTCATCTTCTTGAAAGTTTGTCATAACAGATTTATTTTTGTACTGCGGCCTATAGCTATGGAGGTTCTGTAATATTACTTCTACACACTGAGGGCATGCTATAGTGTTGATTCATCAGTCATAACCTTGCTATTTGGTTGAATATTGTCTCACATTTGGGTGTTTGAATGATGAGGTGTTAACCTAATGAATTGACTGTGGCTGGCTTGCAGATACTTGATTCTACCGAGAAGGCTATTGAGCATAGCTTGGCAAGCACCGGTCGAGTCAATGTGCGAGCAAGCGCAATCTACTCGGAGAGTTCCAAGACTTCTTGCTTAACTTGGCTTGTCATGTTTGTGATGACATGTGTATTTGTCATGGTTATTCTTCTAATCCGTGTCACATAGTGTAGTTTCACTTTGGTAGAAATAACTTCCAATGTAGTTGTTACCATAATGTAAATTTTCCTTCCACTCATTTAAATTGGAAAAGATAAAGAAACAAAAGTTTTTTTTTTCTAAGAAAGTGTTATATATGCTCTTTTACAATAATTTCTGATGTAGTTTCGCTGTAATTTTTTTTATAAATCTTTCTATGTATTCTCCGCGAAGAGCATTCAATAACTAGACGCATTTATATTTTATGCATGTTATGCTGTGTGGTGCAATTAATTCATACGTTCACAATATAAGAACTGTGATATCAGGATCGTCCTGATATTTTATGGGTTCTAGTCGAAATAAGGATGAATTTTTTATTTATAAACAATTTAGAATGTAAGTATTTATAATATAAAACTAGATACATGATTTAATTAAGGTTTAATATCTCTGCTAGTTTATGATTTTTTTTTTGAAAATTTTTAATTAGGTCTTAAATTATATATATATATATATTATAATTTGGTGTTTCATTTTTTATAATTTAGTCTCTACAATTAGAAATTTGTTTATAACTTGATATTTAATTTGACTTAATATTTTTATTTTTTTTATACTTAGATAATCATATTAAATTACTATGTAATGTTATTATTCATGTGTATTAGGTTTTAAATCTCATTGGTTAAAATTTTATGTTATTCTAGAATTGTTATGATTAAAGAGATTATGAAAATTTTTATAGGTAGATTAAAATCTATTAAACACTTATAATGATATATAAAATAATAATTTGAGGTGACTTTACATATATCAAGATTTTATAAAAATATATTTCATAAAATGTAAACAAATATCTAGTCTTAAGGACAAAATTACAAATATATATATATATATATATATATATATATATATATATATC